TTCAGGGAGTCTCGGGACGCTACACTTTGTCAGCTGTCTTAATTCCGAATTCTACTCTTGTGCGAAATAAGGATTATTTACATATTTTCTTTCGAAACAAAAAGCAGATTAAAGCTCTGCCGATGAGAAAACTATATTTGTTTTTATTTGGGAAATAAATGTACATTCGTCAAGAATCGACCTTATTGTTTTTGGACTCATAATGCATTTTACGAGGCGGAATGTAAGGTTTTGAGTTGGATTGTAATGTACGTTGGAAGAACATCTGTAAATTTTATTTAGGAGGGTAAAAGGACAGAATTTCTTGTATAAACTACGGCGGTCGAAGTGCTGGTGTGGTGAAACATACGAATGAACGAAATATGTAATAAGCCCTTACCTTTCTAGGAAGATATTGTGAAAAAGAGTGTGATGCCAGAAAGACAGTGATGATGATTCTCTAAATACCCGCAGGCCCGACCAAATTGTTAAGGCTCCAAATTTTGGGCCGCCGGGAAATGCCACTAGTCTCTTTAACCCTTCTTCACCTCAACTTTGCACTCTTTTTTTGTATTGTGTCTTCTTTTGCCATCGGGAGTAAGTCAGCGCGATGCAATGGTAGCAGCTAAAAATAGACGCCGTCGGAAAGGACATCTACCTAAAGGATAAAGTCTTGCCGCGACTATTCTAACCCTATGCTATGCAGTAAACCTATTAAAAGTGGAAGTGACACAAACTATAACTTATCTAAAAAAGGTTGAATACAGAATTATCTACTAAACTTACTGTCAACAGTAAATACATGATAATACCAAATATGCGAGCACTTGATACCTCCTCTACTTTTTCACTACCTCGATAGAACTAGAATAGATGTGACTCGGGGGCACTGAAGCAAATCCATACCCCCAAGGAACTATGTAAAACTTCCGCATTTGTCATATGACTCGGTTTGTAGGCCTAAATTTCATTGCATTACCTTTTTATTTGATGCAAATTTTTTTAAAAACAAAACATAGGATCTGAAGGGATTTTCGTAAGATCAGTGACATGGAGGTGAAGTATCTTCTAATTTGCAAGTAGATTTGATAACTGACAATGTTATTTTGAAAGAATAATTCTTGCAGCATCGACTATAAAGCTATAGCTAACACGAGAAGCTGATTGAGAGGAGCCCCGGAGATGATTTTCAAAGAGGAGAGGTCTTTTGATTTCGCATTTGTTGGTTTAACTCCTAATAAATGCAAAAAACCACTTAAGTACCATGCGATTGCAAATTTTGTCAAGCGGTATTGCCTTGAAACCAAGCAAAAAGGTTAAAATGCACATTTGCTTAAGTAATTTACTTCCGTTTCTCTCACTTTGCTTATAATGTCTAAAGCGGTTATAATCAATGAGTAAAAATGTGTTTTTGCACTTTAATGTCATTTTTGCCATGTAGTATATTTTGGAAAATGTTTATTACTCACAATTTGTTAGGTTCTTTCCGCTATGCTGCGCACTTTCGAACAGTTGTGGCTGCGCATTCCTATCGCTTCTAACCTTTGTGAGCTTCTTATGGTATCATTGGTATTCCCTCACGTGTTTTTTAAGCCTGCTTTTAAACCCTGTTACATGCTTTTATATGCAGGCATCGTATCCTGTGGGAATGTCAAGTAACTTGTATTTGGCCAAATATGTCTGTCCCTTTTTTTTCAAATTTGTTTCTATCAATAACAATAGTTTCTTCTTCTAGTCTTTATTCAGGCTCCTTGTTGTTAGACTTTTCTCAAAAGATCAGAAGATCTTGTGCCTAACGTGATGACAACTTTTGCACTTTTTAATTGGTGACTGATTCTTGCATCTGGTGTGTTTGCCAGTTATTTCATTGAACTACCCATTCTGTGCTTATTACTTCTCCTTGGTCCATTTTCTTGCTTTATGGCCTTCTGAGTCACAAACTTACCAAATCGTTGACTTTGAGCACAAGGAACAGCTAAATCTGCAGTTCCGTTTTTGCCATTTTTTCTTCATAATCTTAAGCAGCATTGTTTTTTGTCAGGATTGCAATGAAACGCTCTTTGCCATCCGTGGAAGTGTCAAGAACTCCCGTTCCGTCCTCAGACCAAACCGAGTTACCTCTGTGCCTAAAGAGACTTGTCCGCACGATTGTTCGCAGCTTTTATTCCAGAGAACATTCTCTTATTATCGATTTGTTAGTAAGTGAACCGTAATTTTATGATGCTGATACTATTCTCTTTTATTTTTTTCCACTCGTTTTTTAGAAACCTACGTTAATTGTGAGCAGGTTTAAATGCTTGTACATTTCTGGTTCTATGCTATAATTGATCAAATCCGCATCCAGGAGCTTAATGAACTCCATCCCTTTATGCTTTATTTAGTAAAACCCTTTTGATTCCATTATTATCTGTTCCTGTATTATTTTCCTTAAAGTAAGGGTTGAAATGACTTGAGAATAATATTTTACACATGACCAGTGGGTGTCTTCTTTCACTGCTTTTGCAGGTGCGGAACACCATAATGAAAGAAGATGACTTGTGTGAACGTTTACGTTTTGAAAAGAAGCAGCTGCGTCAACACCTCCACACGCTGAAGACAGATCAGTTCATCAAATCGAAGCTGCAGCTGGAGACGGACACGGAAGGGAAGATTGCGAAGATCATTCACTACTTCATTGATTACAAAGTGTTCGTTAACATTGTAAAGTACCGTTTGGATCAGATGCAGCGTCGATTGGAGGCAGAGCAGCGACAGACGTCAAGTCGAGCTCTCTTTCGCTGCTTTTCTTGCAATAGCGCTTACACCGACCTCGAGGTCGACCGCCTCCTTGATCCCCTCACTGGCGCTTTGGTCTGCGTCTACTGCCGCTCTGAGGTTAAAGAGGAGGAGGATAACGCACAGCGCTCAGATGCTCGCGCTCTCGTTGCCAAATTCCACCAACAGGTAACTCTTTACCCCGATATTCCTTTGATCTTCCCATGTCTACTTTGTAGTTCTCTTCACCGATGATGGTCTTCATGTCACTATTTTCATCCCGCAGTATGCTTTGTGGGCGCATTCGATTAAGTAATTTCATCACATGTTTCCATTATTGTTAATTTCTTTTCTCCTAATGCACCGGGGACACTGTTGCGTTTTTCTATCAAGCTTATTGCCTTCTCATTCAAAACGATAATGAAATTTCTGCTAAGTGAAATTGGTGCCTTCTGTGTTTCGGTGAAGGAGGTTACTTTCTCCTCCGCTTTGTTTTATGATGCAATGCATTAACGAATTAGATAACTTTATAATTGTGATCTGCGTCCTCCTTTATGTTATAAAGCACGCCAGTATGAAGATTTGCCATCAAAGTACAGAACGGCTGAGGGACTGTAGGTATGAGTGGGACGCTATGGCACCAAGGAGGTAACCGAAAAGGAGGCGATTGAGGAACTTGCGTAGTCCAACATAGAATCAAAACATGTTCGAGTACATCGACAAAGTTTTCTCACTATATGTTGTCAATGAATGATGTCTTTAGCTCATTTTTAGGTACGAGGACCGTTAGATACGCTGTTAAAGGAGTGCGATCAAGTGCATCTCTCCTCCTCCATTTTGGAACCAGAATTTCGTGCATTGGAACCTCTCCCTGGAGTAAGTAAATTTTACAGGATGCTATGAGCAATAATCCGTATTCCAATTCTAGGCTTCTAATTTGAAACTTCTGATTGTTGTCTACTGGGTTAATGGAAAGCAAAAATCAGCATTTATTCTAGCGTTAGAAAACCATTTACCATTCAATGGAAGTCGATCATCGACAGACGTGATTTGCAACGTCAATTTTAATGCATACAATGTAATGTACCAGCACTCTCATCTGTTTAAAATCCCATACATAATACTCGTAGAATTACATTGAATCGACTTGCTCTCCCTAGACCAAATCCGAGACCGATTCTTCTAGCAATGCCGTGGATTCACGTGCAGTTAATTCTTGGATGAATGACTCTAGCAAGAACCCTATGGCTACTTCAACGGAGAGCACGGTGACTATCGTACTGGACGCCCCCACAAGTTCCAATGTTTCTGCCCCTAAGGAACGACCTATCTGGATGTCAGAAAGTACCATCGACTCCGGACTGGGTGCTGGTACGTATTTATTTTCCTCTGGATTCTCCGACCAACCCATCCGAATGGGCAGTGGTTTTATGTTTGATCAAATGCACTTTCTCGACGATTTAAAACCCATTGAGTAGATGCATGCTAGAGTAATCATGTTTTGGAGATCATTCGAGTGCTAAACTTGATTACTGCATATGAGCCTAAAAGATGCTTTGTTATTGACCTACAGAAGGACAGGGAGATGTTTGGCGTCCCTGAATCGCGTGAGACGAAAAGACTGCATAGCCAAATTTTCGTTTAAGACACAACTGTGCAATGGGTTAGTTAAGGCTGATATGTCAAATACAGTTTCGGGTCTTTTGTCTTGGTCAGGTCTAGGTGAATTGGATCGTGGTCCAACGGGTGATCCCTCATCGACTTCTGATTCAACTACCCAGACGCTCGCCCCAGGCCGAGTTCCGACCAGTCTCCTCGACCCCTCCTCTTCCAGTGCACCTGACGGCGCGCAGTCGTCATCGGGCCTGCAGAATTCCACCTCCAATGTCTCTGCCATCTCTGCTTCGGATATCATGCAACTTCTGCGGGTTCACGAAAGACGTGGCCTAGGCATTCACGGTCCCAAGACTGCTCTGAGTACGTAAGACCAATATCTACGGTCCATTTTTTGCCTTTGTTGGATAGAATTTGAGGTAAGCTCTGCATGCATCATCCTCTAACCCAGCTATTACCGAAACGCACGCATTTGGTTGACTTCCGCCGATCTTTGGTGTCCAAAAGTGAAAAATCCTGGGTTCCATCTGCCTTTTTTTCCTTTCTAGACCGACCTCCCAATGTTCCAACCTCCAAAGCCTCGGCTGCAGCAAATACTAAAAACAACCAAAATTCAAATTCCGTTAACTCACATATTCAAGGTATGCTCAAAGGACCGCACGCATTGGTCTTTTTCACCCCCTTTTTCGTCTTCACTACGTGTCACTCTACACACTGATGAGTTACTGAAATTCCATGGTTATCCAGAACCCAGCCATGTCACTAATCTTGCCAATTCGCCTTTTTACGGGTTCTTGTATGCACCCACCGAGCTGTCTGATCTCCTCGGGTTGTCATCCTCCACACCGCACACCCCCTCCCCCCTTGTTAACGAGTCGGAGCATGCTCGCACATCACTCCTTTAAACTTTCAGACGCCTCTATCAACTCAAACCCGGTATCGACGCCTTCCAACTACGTGGTCAAATGCGGAACCTCGAGTACACCCATTCCCGACATCACGCTGTCCACGATTAAGTCAATGGAACCCGGTGAACGTTCCGAGTATGTACACGTAGGGCTGCGTTTGTACAGAGACACCGTTACTGACTAGCCTTTCCCCGCTTGGTGTACATAGTGTCCCGATTTACCGGTGATAGTTCTCCACAGCAAGACCTGTGCTTTCACTAAAGAACGATTACATTTTGAGATTTCATTATGAATCTGGGTCAATACGTAAACCTGACTCCGCGCAAAATGCCTTAGCACAGGAAGGCACAGTAAATAACATTAACCACGTCGTCCCTTACACAAGTTCGATACAAATTCAGGCTGTACAAAAAGATGATAGTCGGAATATTGCATGTGAAAAAAGTCAAGCAGTAATTCGCTACAAGAGATCCTTCCTGGTGATGTAGGATCGACCGGTTCCGCTTCGTGAAATGAACTTCACAGAAGGCATCTTAGCCGACCCGGGTTCCCCAGGGTCCATCGACCCACCTTCCCTACCAGCAACCATGGAGGAACGCCTTCGCTGACTAAAATGTCGGTTTTGACGGTCAAGCAAGTCAATGTCCTCATCGTCTTCATCGCCAAATGGTCCACCAGCATCTTCAACAGACCCATAGGCACCACCACGACTGGCATCGCCAACATCGTGAAACTCGTCGTCTTCATCATCAACCAGATCGTCATCATGACGACCGCGCGAGCGATGATGCGGCAATTGAACCGTGGAACTCAAGGCATTGCGGGATGACCCCAAAGCCAGGTCGTCGGAGAGACTAGTACCGGCTGGGCCGAGTGAAGCACCTGTTCGGATTTGAGCCTAATGATGCGTCATTTGAAACATGATAATCAACACAGAAAGGAGCGTAAATTTGGAAGAAGTGAAGGGTACCTTGCTAGTAGCCTCAACAACACGGTCAAGAGTACGACCGAATTCTTCAAGTATTATTCTTTCCTGTGATGCTGGTGGTAGATCTCTGCGTTCAGCGTCTTCAGCCTGAGCCAAAAGGCAGCTGGCTGCGGCTTCGATCGTTTCCCAAGTGAAGAATACATGTGGCATACTGGATAATATAATGTCAGTTAATAGTCAATCAGTAAATGGTATTCATTTAGAACACCAACTTACGTTTCCGCCGGAGGCTTAATTAAATGCTTCCTGAATGCATTTGGTTGGCGCGATCGAAGGGAACCCATCGCAGCCAGACGCATCAACGACCTGCGCTCTATGCTGTCTTCCGTATTTCGACATCCAAGACACCGGCAGAGATCGGAACAGCTGATTTTTGCTTCATAGCACTCACAGTAGTTCTTAAGGCAGCCACTGCGTTTGCAGTTACAACCTTTGGTATGCTTACGCTCTCCCTCACCACGACCGATTTTGGGGTGAAATGCAGTTGGGTTCCTCTCTAGAGTCATTTTGATTGCGCGACCCCTTTCTTCTTCATAGGCCAAATTATTCATACAATGATTGCAATTGCAACTTTGACAAAGCTGACCCTGCGCAAAGCACTCGCAATAGAGTTTGAGGCAATGAGATTTGGTACAGTTACAGGGCTTCCTGGAGTTGGCCATACTGTTCACCGCTTGCGGGGCCCCAGGTACGGAGGGAGCCGCAATTCCGACGCCAGGCCCACCGATAAGAGTTTGGGCCAAGCCAGTCATCCCAGGCATGCTAGCCTGACTGATGCTCACTACCTGTCCAAAAGCCTGACTGGGAATCGGACTAGCCATGAATGCACCACTAGGGGCTACAACTAAATATCATAGAGAGCACGTGAAATATTTGTACGAGGAACAAAGAGCTATTTAGTACGACGAACTCACGTGTCATCTCCTGCGGTTTTCGTGCGTACTGCGCAGCAGTATTTGTGTTGATTTGAACAGATTGTGGGGCCAAGAGGGGCTGAACAGGAACTGCGTTAAATTGTGTGGGTTTGGATTGGAATACTGTTGTTCCACTTGGTCCAGGTCGAGTGTGAAGAACCTGAACAACATTTGAGGGAAAGCCCTGCTTCTGGGAGAGTGCGACTTTCACACCAACTGGTTGCTGGATCATAAGACTGAAACAACAAACCAGTGTTAAATGTCCGAAGTGCACAGAGTGAAATTCACATGTATGACCAGAAGACGGTGTAAGAGGACAGTGCCGGGTCAAGGATAGTCTCGAGGAAACTAAAATTGAAGACCTGCTACTTTAAGATGTCCATGGAAATTGAGTCGTTAAAGGACACAGATAAGGCGGAAAATCTTTATATGCAGACCATAGGCACAAAACATTCGCAGAGAACCAGCATAAAATAGGCAAACTAGAAAATTGAATTGCCGCCCGAACTCACGATTTGAATACAAATTCTGCTGCGAATTCAAAACCGAGAGAGAACCCCTGCTCACGGATTCAAACAAACAAACAATCTGTTTATGCAGCGCAACTGACTAACCCTTTTTAGTGTGCAAAAGTAAATTACGACAAAATTATTTATTAAAGAAATAAGTGCAAGAATTACTGCACGTATGTATATAAATTAAACGGCCTTAAAAAATTGCAAAAAAAACTTATAATAAATAATTTTTTGTTACTATTGCACATCTTAGCCTGCACACGTTGTTTTTGTGTTCTTGTGCTTTTTTTAATCGTACCTGAAGTCCAGTGGTCACTTCAACTTCTGCGGTTTGTGGTTATGCAAAATGATAGGCAACTTCCTGTAACTTTGCTTACAACCTTAGTTACTCCTCAAGACCCTAAAGATAGGTGTGTGTATGCCTTACCTTTGTTCACTTCGGTTGCAAGGGCTGGGCAATTTCGTAGGTGTCACATGAGGATTTTTTTCTCGCTGCAGCTTGGTTTTGTCTAATCCACTTCACACTAAGTACGCAGTTTTCTTGTAGCGTTTTTAATTAATATCTTGTTTTGTCATGTACGCACGCAAATGAATCAGTTGTCTTGTTTGTCGTAATCAGTAGTTGATTTTGGGTCTTGGGGGATTTTCTGGCTACTAGGATTTGCGACATTACCAATTGTAAGAGACTGTTAAATTAATGCGATATGCTTAGTTTCTAGGGCCATCCTTATCACCCTTCAGTGTCTGGTAATGTTTGTTGCTGGTAGGCTTTTGTATCTAAGCTCATAATTTATTTGAGTGTATGGCGTCTTATGACTTTTAAGGAAAGGTTATTTTGCTATGTCGAACTTCAAGCAACTCTTCTAAGTACTTATGCATAGCTCTTCTGCACCTGATGCCTCCATGCGTTATACGTACTTTGTTGGATTATTTCTACACGTCTCTGGGCTTTGCTAGTGCTGATGCTGATAATGATTTAACAAACTACATCTCTAAGCGATATCCAGTGTGATGTGGACTTTCGCTTGACCAATCACTACTTTTCAGAGTCAGTACCTTGCATGAATGGTTTTTAGTCGTAAGTAGCGTCTCAAATCTTTCATCAGCTTTGGTTACAGCCAATTAATTTGATGTATTCGCCGAAAATACGGTTTGTATTCTGTGGCTATGAGAATCCTTTAAAGCTGAATTGAGTCTCCTCAAATCAAAATTGTGATCTGTTGGTTACACATGTTTTCCCCCCCCCCCCTTTATGGAAATTTTTTCCAGTTACTTATTTTGTCGACTGAAAATTTAACTCCCCAGGCCAACATGGAGATTCACAAAAGATCCAATAGCATGGCCCCCTCTGAAAGCCCTCAGAGCGAACGCTTTTGGTTGCCTTCTGCTTTTGGAGCGGATGACACACATATGAGCTCGGGGGACTACAATCCCGGTGTCCGTTCTGATGAAGAGCTTCCAGAATCACCGACATCTTTGGATCACACGACTGTTTGTTACAGCACACCGGAAGAACCCATTCTCCGAATGGAGGATGACGCTCCACTGTGCAGTGTATGAGATGCCATCAGTTTTATTTTTCAGCCTAAGTACATTACCAACGTTTTGACCTAAAGTACAGGAAATTGGTATTTTGCATGAAATAATTTAGAGCACTACAGAACTATATTTCATATTTTCAAAACGGCAATGTTAACATCATTTGATGATTAATCATTGATTGGGAAAACTAGTGGCTCACTTCCAGATCTAGGTGATTTTATTGTTTTAAAAGCGTACGCTTTTGATTTATGGAACTGTAAAAAAACGCTTGATTTGTTTATGCTTTTGGAAATGAGGCCGTTTATTACCAGAGTTAGTTGGTGGTATTTGCTTGGTGTGTACATCCAAGGTGTACATTATTGTGGTTTTCTTGAAGGTAATGGAGGGTGGTGAGCAGTCGCATTCGTTTAAAAAACCAATGTCGGTAGTGTTTCGTTTGTCCTCGGGGAAGAAGAGCCGAGGTCGGAAGGTGCCTCGAGATTCTCTGCGTCTCCCAATCCCCTCTGTCCCTGCAAGTGCGATGCCAGCAACATTTCCACATCTTCCTCCACCGCCACAGGTTCCTGAGGATACTCCTCTCTTCCCCGACGCTGACTCCCGACCGCCAAGGGAGAAACTCAAAAAAGCGAAAATGAAGGAGTTGAAGCAGAAAAAGAAGTCGGAGGAGAGTAAGAGCATTAAAAAAATCGAGGAAGCTACCGAGGCTCTTGAGTTTCCATTGAGGAATCCGGCCAAGAAAAAGAAGCGTAGAAAAAAGATCAGTGGTGTGGAGGTCGCGACTACAGAGCCGAATGTTGATAAAGTGATCACTCGAGTCAATTTATTTTTACTTGCTTAAAATGAGTAGGTCTATTTACTCCTGTCTTATTTCCCAGGCTGTGATTGGTGTGCCCCTTGAAACTGCGCTGGAACGAAATCCAAGCCACGATGGCGTCCCTCTGCCAGCCTTCGTTCGTTATTTGATTGACTTTATTGAAGAATATGGGCTTGCAGTGGAAGGCATCTACAGAGTAGGTTTTTTTAATTTATTTGTTAGATTTTATCTCATGAGAGCTTTTCCATACGTGCATGTATCATATGATAAGGTCCCAGGCGTCAATTCCCAGGTAAAGCAATTTATCAACGCCTTGAACAACGGTGTGGAGTTTCCGGATATTCCACCCACTTCTCCTGCCTATTTGCACTACGATGAAACTCCAAAGTCTGTGCGAGGTAAGGTTCACACTGAAACCTTGCTTTGTTTACGTTTTCAGCGTAATTGCGAGACGTTACGTTATTAATCTCAAACCCTTAATGGCTCCAGCGCTAGCATTTATTCACATCTCCATTCACGTTTAGATCCAGGTTATTTGTATGGGCTCAGAATCTTGAGGGATTGCGCTTTATAGTATTTCTATGAATAATACTATTGTTAACCGGTCATAATCGGTTTATTCTTAAGTCTACCGTTGTAATTACCAACTTCCTTTCAAGAGAGCGTATTTTCTGTGTCTAGACTATGAATTTGCCTAGACACTTTTTTACAGAAAAAAGCCAGGTAGTATATCAAGCCTTTCTACTAAAGAAGATAGTAAAAGTTTTATTAAAATCGTTAGTCGCCTCTCATGTGAGCTGAACCTGTGGGCTACTTCTTCACGGCGAAATCTAATTCAATTTTTAAATATGAGCTTTTGCTTTAATGGTGCTCTACCTAAAATTACTGTGTTTTGTGTTTTCGTACTACGAATTATCGGAAACGAGGATCCTAATCTATTGGTGTACTAAACAGTGTCATTTCTATTTTAGAACGAGTTTTTTTGTGCATAAAAAATTCTCTTTTCTATTATGCTATTTTTTAGCACTTATTTTTTGCCTCGAATGATCGGAATGCACACAAACTCAATCATGGCTGCTTTTAAAGTAAATTCGATTTGTAGTAGGAGTGATCATTTATTACAGACGTCCAGGATGCATCAGCCTACACACCTCGTGTTCGTATTTTTATCGAGCAGTTAAAATTCCATTATAAGTTCTGGTCTTATTACAATACGTAATAATATATGGTTTTCCCCATATTTCACCAACTGGTACTCATTAGTTGCCACGAAGGCGATGAGTGAGATTAGCCGCCCTAGAAGTCTATTCCAAACTAAAGGAAAAAAGCTGGACGATTGGATTTCTGGTATGCCATTAATTGATTTCCTTTGGATTGTAGCCACGATGTTGGAAGTTATGGATGGCAGCACTACCTTTCCTGAAGTGGCTTTTACACCACCGCCGCCACCACACGATCCGGCAGTGGTGACCAGCGTGCTGAAGCACTTCTTGCGAAGCCTGCCTGAACCCCTGCTCACAACGGAGCTGAGCTCCTCCATCGAGGTGATCTGCGATCAAACGGCAGACACTAGCAACGGAGGTGGCCGGCGGCGCCGTCTGGCTGAGCTGGTGCATCGGAGGCTACCGCGCGTCAACCGCTATCTCCTTGCTTGGCTATTGCAGCATATGATCCGTGTGATCGACCGTGCTGGCGACAACAAAATGACCCTCTCCAATCTCGTCATCGTCTTCTCCCCAACCCTCCGGATGTCTCATCGTCTCCTGGCTCTCCTCTTACAGCCTTCTCCAGAAGGTCAATTGTGCCATTCTGACCCCGCTTAGCTCCACTTCAAATCTTGCCAGGGCAAAGTCTATAGCTATTCTGATTGGACGCTATGATGTATGTCCAGCTTCGAATCGCCTGAGTTATCCGAACTGGCCTTTTAGGCAAAAGCTCAAGGTTCTGATTTAATCCGGATTTTCAGAAGCGAAGAATTCTAGAGATTTATCAGCCTTTTACCACTAAAAATTGATTTTATTTTGCAGTGGATGTTTTCTTCTATAAGGATGCGTAAGCACATATCATCATGTAATAAATAAGATCCTTATGATGGATGACAAGCGACATCTCTGCGTGTTGGAAACAGTGATTCCCCAAAGGGATGTCCAAATTTCGTACATTTCAGAATAAGGATGAACTGAACAATTCATTGGTTCTAGAAATTGTGCTTTATGTTTTTGGTCCACCTCATACTGTAATATTTGACTTCTAGCAATTTTTTTTTTGAGTGCACTCGAAAAAGCGCTTAAATGTATTATGAATGTTCTCTTGTCATACCTGTTGAATGACTCTATTGCACTTTGCTGTACTTCTCTTGTAGAAGAAGCCATAATAGAGTTAACAGAGCCTGAAGCAACACGGGTGGTCGGTTTGGAGAATACGAGCAGTCGAGCCTCTCCTCACTGGTTGTTTCCTCACCTGGCCTTTACCTACCGACCTTATAGGGCTCCTCTGCCACCGCCCCCACCTTCCTCCGAGGTGGGTTTCATGCCTCTTGATCTGCCCGATTCTTTGTCTGAGCTGGAGGATGAGCTATTTAAGCAGGAGTCGCTGCTGACATTCACCCACCAGCAGATCGCCTCAGGCAGGGCCAGTGCGGAGAAGGACGCCTTCATTTGGGAGGTGAGGCATCAGTTGGTCCAAACGTCCGCACTTTTAATTCTCCTCCCTGTTACTAGCCCAAAAACAATTGAGAGCGAGGGAAAAGTAATCCTCTGTGATTGTTAGTTCGGCCTCCTGGTTGGGCTCGTGCCCGTGTTGTGATTTTGTGTCGCTGACCTCTCAAAGAATGTAGGATCTCATTTTGCTTTATTATAGATTACCATTAGACTTTTGAGGTAAAAGCCTGATAATAAGGTGTAACTTGTGCCCAACCGATTCATTGTGGTGGGCAATCATTTTTTCTGTTAAGTCTTTTCAATAGTTTGCGACTTAGTAAAATACATCTCTATGATACATTTATTCTCAAGACAAGGATGCGTCGAGTGAATTTTCCGGATATTTGTTTTAAATAACATAGGATGGCGAATGCCTCAACAATTTTCGGTTGAAATGGATTGGTGATTAAAGTTTCATTATGTCCTGCTGTGAGAGTGAAAATTTGCGAAGCTCTGCTGCGTGCGGTATGTGCTGAGTTTTAAAATACGAGCTTTTAGACGCGAATTAAAACGGAAGTATTGGTCTTAAATGATAGCCTCATATGTAAAGACGTAAAATCATAAGCTTTAGTGGTAAACATGATTAGCGGAATAGCACTTTTATTCATTTGTCGTTTTAAAGCTGTGATGGTGTGCTATACATTGCTTCGGTAACTTTTTTGTGTCTTCAACCATGAACTCTTACTTGCTAGTAAGAAGCATTTGATTCCTGCAAATGGGCAGTAGCTAATCCGTTATGAGTATGTTTAGCCTGGATCCAAAGACGGTAAGTTTTTAGATAGAAAAATGCAGATTCAACGACGTGTTTCTCTCAAAACTGGATTATGCTCACTCTTAACCAAATCGGCTACAATTTTATGTTTACCTCTCTTAAAATGTTTCCGAGCAGAATTGGAAGTGCCCATTTTGCTTAAATGCTGTTCAGTGATTACTTAAAGGCATACAGAGTGAACATGAAGGAGGATGTAAGACTTAGAGAGCTTTATGCCGGGACAGAGTGTGTACTTTTGCAGCCCATTTGTAAGTGCTGGTGTCATTATGGTTATGCAACTAATCAGCGTCTGCAAGGTGAGTTTTTGCAGATTATTTATTTTATCTTAAAGTGCGAAGTCTTGGCCCCGATGAAACAGCCTCTCCGTCATTCATACCCACAAGCTTGACCATTAATCTGCTCTAATTTCATTCAAACAGGCTGCTTATGCTATAAATCTTCAATCCCCCAATCGAATGGACAATTAACCGAGAGGATACTATTCTGTTCTACTTTTTGATTTAGTGCAGTTAGCATATGTGTTTGCCCCTACATTTTTGCCATACCCTGAGACTCCATGCGGGAATCAAAGAGGAATGTGAGCTTCGGGCTATATTTAGTTAAGGCTGAAAAGTATCCCATCTTCCCGTATCACTGTCGAATCTCAGATCGACTAAACTTCGTCAGCATTAAAAAAACTATTAGCAGATAAATCTGAACACATGAGAACCTAACATTAATGTTGTGAGTGTAGAGAACACAAGTTTAAGGTGATTTTTAATTTTTTGTATTTTGGGGGCTCCTCAGTGTGCCTATTAATTTAAGTAAAATCATCCTCAAAATTTGGTTGGATTTATGTGATCTTGTAGGATTTTCTTGTAAGCTCAATCGCTCTGTTTTTGTGACTAGCTGAGACGGCTTTGTGGACCTGTACTTTTAAACATGCAGCATTTTTAGGGTTACCGAATTTCATTTTAGAACAAATAAATACCGCGTTTAGTTACAAATGAACATGAGATTTCCTTTGGTGACCTGAATGAATAGCTCGGCTTCAAACCGTGAGAATGCGGCATAAGTATTTAAATATGTCGGATGATGTCACTGGTAGAAACCTAATAGTTAGACACTTTGAAAATGATTGTGAGCGCTTTGGGCCTACTCATTCAAGACGGAGCATTACGTGAATAAAATCATTCCTAGTTTAAAGCGCGCATGTACAGGGTCATACGCGCAGATTAAAATACTCGGAAATTCTTAATGCAATTAGATAATTACGAGTCCCTTGCTTTCTGGCAGACCTCTTAAGCCCAACCTCTTGGTATCTGCTAGGTGCAACACCTAGTGACAAAGATGAAGCGCAAGAGGGCCCTCCTAGAGTTGACCGACCCAGAGGCTATTCGCGCTGAGCTAACACGGCACGAAGCACGTCTGGAGAGAGTTCAGCAGGAGCTGGTCAAATGCAAGACTACCGAAGGCACCGCCACCACATCCATCAATACTGGCTTTGCCAGCGTCAGTAACACCCCCGTCACCACGTCACCTGAGAAAGGTGGTTATTTTTTTTTCAACTGTTACCGCTACAGATTTATCTCATTTCAGTGGTGTATGCTCTCACTCCAACGCAGAGCTCTGTTTATGTTTCTCGTTTTTGAGAAACCTGAATAATTCCTATTTCGTCAATGAGAATTAAATTGCATTCTTTTTAAATTTTGCTACTACTTCTTGAACAGTGATTTTTGTTTAATCTAGCTTATTTTAGGAAGGTATGCAAGTTTTGCCTCCTCTATTATAATTTTTAAACCTTACAGTTACCTGATACAACTGCTATCTCAGCTCATGAGACGTGTGAAAGTGAAATTTTGAAGGTATATGTATAGCTGATTACGATAGATGATATCTACTGTGGTTTCCCTATGTGAGTTTTACGGTTCCAAAGTTGTGCAAGCTTCATGCGACTTTCAAATTAATGAAGCAATTTTATCGCGATAGCTAATGCGCTTTGCGACTTTAAATACTACGTTAAGACGTAATTTACAGACATCCGGTAAAATATCTGCTGTAAGGCTTCCGGCTTTGAAGATGAAGGAGTCGGAGGCGCTACATTTTTTTAGTCAACCACCCGGTATCACTAGAGATAAAGTCGTTCAACTGCACAACGAAGTAATTACGATACAAGCCAATAATATCAGCCACACGCTTGGCCTTAATACCTCTAGACATCTTTTACGGAAACAGAAACGGCAAATGAAATATTTGAAGGGACAAAGGGTCTTTTTAGTACGATTCATTTATCATAGAAAATGAATTACAAAGTGCATGTAGATGATAACAGTGCCCAGTATCTTTCATCTACATTTGTTACAGTAATATTTTATTTATCGAAGCCGCTCTGGCTTCATTTTCTCATGTTTGACTTCTTAAGCGTGGGGAAGGATTTGTCACGATTTACGTGCACGCGAAGATGCTGACGGTCATTGGAACATAAAGGATAGGTAAAAACTAGATTTATCACGTTAATCTGTATGTTGGATCGTTGTTTTCGACATTTGGTTTCACTGTGAACTAGTCACAGCTCCATCCCGTCTTTAGAGGTTTTCAGCTGCTGGAATATCAGTCGGATATGGCCGTAGTGTTTTTAGTCACCCAGATTAGCTTTCTTCGAGAAATGGCATTTATATTTCTACTCTGACGTGAACAGTCAATATTGAACCGAAAGAGCATGGCAAACAGGATATGGTGTTCAAAATGAGTGCCCATATGCATTTTAAGTGCAGATGTGATGCACTTTCGTTCATAAATAAACACTCAAATCAGTCCTACTAAACCTTCACAATTTCTGCATAAATATTTTTACTTTAAACTAAAAGACTGTTAACTATCGGGCTTTTTATTATATTGTTTGGGTGTTGGTAATTTACACTTGAGTAGCATAATTGATACATTTTTAGTTACACCGGTTCGCTTGGGCTCCCTTTACAATGTTTGTTTGGCATATTTCAGCCTCAAAGCCGGCAAGTTCCCGCCTTCCCGTCTCCCAATTTGATTTTGTCTCTCCGCTTTCAAAGCGCTTGAGTGGACGGCAGAAGCACCGCGCGTCGGCAGTTGTAGGTGGTCAGATTGGCAGTTCTGGCAGTCTAGACGCGGAGTTTTGGGAACTCCAGCAGACGGTGACTATGCTGAAGCGGCGTCTTAAACGGTGCCAAGAGAGGCCTCCAGTGCCGACTCATCCTCTACGCGAACTGATTCCCTCCGAGTCACTGGATACTGAGGAAGTGTTTGACTTCTCTTTGAGGTATTTCCAGCGATCTACCATCTCATCCATCTCGCGCATATTTGTGTAATTGTCCATTTTTTACTGCTCATCATACCTATATGCTAGGCACTTGAGTCTGCACCGGATTGTTTTTTTTCCAGGCATGTGCTCATCTTCCCTCTTAAGTGAACTCAATCAATGCGTTCGAGCGTATTCCTATTGACCAACGGTCATATATTACCGCTTTTCGCAGTTCAAAGTTATGCAACAAATTAGTGATTTTAGGATTAAGTCAATCCCTTTTCATTCGTGTTTCGAAAAAATTGCAACGCTAAAACAATCATGTTAATTTAAATTAAATGTCGAATACCCTCCACCATTTCGGCCTGTTTGCAGTTGGTCGATTTTCTAATTTTTGAGGTTAAATCTTCCCTTGCCTATATTAAGGAGAAAAAGTTCCCACATTTAGAGCGGTAACTTTTTAAGGAAGTATATTTTAGATCCTGACCGTTGTCCCGGATACCATCAATGAAGATGTTTTTACTAGCCTGAGGCGAAGTGTGGTCCAGTTATTGTACTTGAACTTTACATACACACGGGAACGTCGTGTTGTGTACTGTGGTTCAAAACTCGCTCCTTATTTCTTATGGTTTACCTTTGGTGCATAAAGTGGGGGGTAAGGGTCGCATTTGTCGGCGCAAGTTCAAAATACGGTAAGACTTGCTTCATTCGGCCAATATTTTGAAAATAAGTGCCAACATGCAAAAAAATTTCACTTACAAAGCACGCTAGGTACCCATGATTAATGTAGATGGGCTGTTTTTTGCATGTCGCGTTTTTTTTTAAGATTCGTATGCGAAATCACGATATTTACACCGTGCTTTTTTGCTTTTGCATTCAATTCATGCATAAAATTTACCTATGTTTAAGGTCTTGCAAAGCAGTTGATGCATTTCCATTTCTCTTGTAAATCATCATCTCTCAGATTCCAAGATAACATTCGTATTCCCCAATTCTTCTATAGTTTTTAATTGCATAAGCAGGCCTCAATCTCTGGGGAAACGATCGTTTGCAAAAAAATCATCTCCATTGAATACGATGTGCCCTCAGAAACAGATGACTATCAGTTAGCATGCTTGCAACTTGAAAGTGAATAAATCTTTCTCACTCGATTATGGCTAGCTATTATTTCAGAATTTGGAGAAATAGGTTTTGTTCTCAGATTTTTTTTCCATTCCTGCTTTCCCTTCTTTATATGAGAAGGCGACAGATCAACCTTATTAACGGCGCCCATTGATCACCTTTTCGTCCCGCGTTATTCATTCACGTGCCATCTACTACATCCACAGCCACTTACCCCCACTGCTAGACCAGTGACTCAGATAACATCAGAAAATACACCGCCGTTTTCCGAAATCGCATTTTAGTTGTTTTTATTTTGCCAGTATTTAGGAAAAAAATCAAGGTTGATTCCATGTCACCGCTGCACCAAAATAAAATCGCATTCTCCCCCTGTCTGGCTTTATTCATAGTATTGAGCATGCAATTGTAATCATAGGGTTTCATAACGCAAATTCTGTTCTGCATAAAACGTTGACTAAATTGAGCTTAAATGGCACTCTCTTCAACTACTTTTATCGCCGTCAACTTCGAAGGTGCAGTCCAAAATCAAGACACATCGTGGAAAGCAGACTAAATCTTGTCTGCGCTCTAAATCAGTGTTAAATTTGCTACTGGACTGACAAAACCATTATTACTAGTCAGTAGCGATCTCAAAAATGATGGAAAGGCAGTTAGGTATGATGGCATTTGAGATTACCTAAATTGGCGTGCGTACAGAATAGGTGAGATTGAAACGTATTTCTGCGAGTTTATCTAAGCAAACTCCCACTCTCCTTTGAGTGTATGTGCTGCCACCTCGATTGAACCCAATTTAGGCATCCTGACATTTAGTCGAGCTGTTGCCTCCAAAATACTTTTGATACGAGAGAAAACATCTGGACGAAATTGCATTTGTATCTCAAGCATGCTATTTTGCTCTGGTTTTAGGAGATTTTGGGGACAAGAGATCGGCGAAAATTTCCTTATTAAGGTGGTCGCCTATTTTAGTGTTTTTTTTGTCAAATTTTCGGTTGCTTTCTACTTGTGAATCGGAATTTTGTTTGTCGCAAATTCTTGGCTGATTCCCATTTTTACTGTATATTCCTATTAAATCTGCTATCAAGCCGACGGTAGGGCCTTGATATTCCATTCTGCATCGAATAGCATTTCAGAGACAAAATTTGAAATGAAGTCAGTTGGATTGACCCCCTAGGTGTATGGTTGTTTATTTTACGCGTGCCTCAACATTTTAGGAAACCAGTTACTGAGGTGGTAGCAAGGAAGGTTTCTGCTGCATCACTTGACAGTGAAGCCAGGGCATCTCTTTTACGAGAAGGCACACTAACAATGGATGAAGTGCCTACTCCCAAAGTGGAGAGCTTTCCCGTCGAATGGCCCATCACACCGATACCGTGCGTGGAAGCGTTGGCAACAGTGGTCATGGCTAGCAGCGATGAGGTCGGAAAGCCGGCGGCGGTGGAGGAGGCGAGAATTACCCAGGAGGAGGTGAAACTGGGAACCCAACCATCACTCCAAGATCACCCGAAGCTAGACCCCGCCTCACAGTATCCCCTCTCCATCTGCAACTACTGGGCAGTACGCCAACAAGAACTCATGGCCTGCCAACACGACCTCAAATCACGCATTCACTCGCAAGAGGCGGAAATCGCCCGAATTGAGGTTGGTGCTAATATTTGATGAAACTTTAGTGTAATCGGTGACTGAGTCTTTGGCTGACGCGTCGTCAATTGCTAGCATTTATGTGCGCGAGTTTGAATTCTCTCGACTTTTCAACTAGCATGATCAGGAAACGAAGGCTTCACCACGGATGTCCTTTTTCACCGATGGGTATAAGTAAGCCGAGGATATGGCTTATGCGTACGTGACTGGTGATTAAGTACCGGAGACAAAGGGTGGCTCCGTTCCCACGTCTTTACAGCATTTCGATTGCCTTTCGTTTGATAGTAGTTACTAGCACATTTTCCGTCTATCTGTAAATGATATTAGCCAATCAGAGGAATCGAGTGAGAGAGCAATTCTGCTTGCCTCAGGCCGGGGAGTCTAAGATAAGAATTTGGAAGCAGACTTTTTTATTTAAAGATCAAAGCTAAAGGTAGACGGTAAAGAATTGCGGTCGTTTTAATGACAAATGGTTAACGTGATTTGAGGTGTTTCGAAGAAGCATACTGTATTTGTTGGGTTTGCCTCTCCGATATCACCGTTTTACACTAGTGCTTTGCTTTCCATGCCTTGCAACATTCACATTGATTGTTTGGTCTACCTCGCTGAGTGGATATAAATATTTGTTTAACGCCACTAGTCTCGATAGAATGCTACTTTTACGTCATTTTGATACCCCCGTAACCCTGTTATGGTTCCTCTTATAGCATTTGAGTCGTCCTTGGGAACATTAGGGGATGTTTGCCTGATTTCGTTTGTATTCAATTCGCAGAAGGTTTGGCGCCCTCTTAGCAGAAATAACATGAACTCAACGTCATGGCACCGAGATGGAACCGGAAAATGAAAACAATCATCTTTCCATTGCACTGCGCCGGCTTAAAAGTGTCGTCAGCTCGGCATCGTTACACAACACTCAGGTGTAAATCCGTTTTAAGGCAGAATTCCCACAAGTAATAGTGCTGCATGCGACACTGATACCTTTACACGTTCCCGTCGTTCTCGCTTCTTTTTATCCTTCTTTACGGCGAAAAAATGTCTGCAGCAACTCATTATAACAAACCTTAGCATTTTAAATTTAGCACTAATAAAATTTACACTTAAATTGTAGCTTTTTAGAAGTTATGATTCAAAGTAGCTCTATCTACCTTAAGCGTCTTTATGTGCGAAATTCATGTTCTTCACAAAGATCGTAATGGTGTAGTATACTGTTTGCTTTTTTGGTAATTTCTCTTCTGAACTCGCGCATTCGATGTAAATACATAACAACCTATGCTTGGATATCTGAGCAAATCGTTGAGCACTTCTCCATTCATCTAGGCTTGTGTACTATTATACGAGGCTAGTGACGTTTTCATGATCTTCAGAATGCTGGCTCTTTGTGTTTGCCGAACTCGGTCTTGAATGTCGCTGGAACTCTGTTACTCCCTTCAGTCCCTTTAACACCTGCATATGATAAATCAATAAAAGTAGTTGATGTCATATCCTGAGTCCCCTCTGTAGGAAAAAATAAGACAGTTTTTTACAATAATGGCAACAGTACTGTGTGGTTGCGGATAATGTGCGTCGTTTATTGCATTATTAATGGGAGGTCAGCGTAGTCCTTTCAAATAGGATCTCACTACTGCCAAATGACCATTTTTTTGCGTTCCTACCAACTGATAACTTCCATTCGAAGCTTCTACTCGTCGAATGATGCTGTCACTTTTGTTAGTGAACTTTTCAACTGAAGCGTCACATCGTATCAAATTGTGAAGTCTGATGCACATGTGACTTGATTTACTGAATCGACTTTCTTTTGGAGTTTTGCATCATAAAAATTTTTCTCCTGAACTACCACACTGTGTGAGTGTGTACTTGCAGCAGCATCCATTTTATCTGTTCTCACATTTCGTTCCTTTTTTAGTCTTTCAATGCCTGTGCATACACCCGTGTAAACTCCTCCATTCAATGTGTTCATATAATTTCCCACATTTCACGAGCGAATGGATACACTGGTTTTTTTGGTGCATTTGAATCCACCATATTTCTCCTTTTGAGAGAACAAGGCCTAGCTATTTTCCAGCTAGCCTGTGGTAAAGGTATTAAAAAGTTGAACAAACCCGTTCTATGGATTAGATGTTGATTTGGTAGAGAAGTATCTCTTCTTCCTAAGTACCTTACTCATCCACTTGTTTTGATTAAATCTACTGAGGAGTAATTTGCAAATTAATTAAACTCAATATTGTCAACCATCATCATGATCCACTTTAACCATATTATGGCCAGCATGCTTTTTTCCGTGAAGAGAAGGTACTCATCTCTAAAGCTAAATAGCGCATTGATTTGCATCAGTGAACCTTTGTAACAGAATGTTGCGAAGTCTCCCACATATCCATAGTTCACGCGTTCTATGTGGAGTTAATTTTTCCAGCTTTGTCACTAAGATGATAGGAGATACTCCTTGAACTTTGGTAGCACTTGGTTTAGGGCTTGAACTTGGAGTTTATCTTGATGGAATGCGACTTTGCTTCCGAATTTGTCACTCGCTTCTAAATCCAACAGGAATAGCGCTCGCTTAAGTCACTAATCTTTTAAAACGTAATGTGGTGTAGTATCTACAATGAATATGTTTTTCTGTGGGTTTCGGAATTCAAACATTGTCATTTCGTATCAACCAGTATTCGTGGATCCTCACGGAGGCTCGTGAATTTGTTCTTGCTAAAAATATTTTTCAATCTCACATGGAAGTTCAATTTCCTTATAAATTATTAGCATTCCTGACATGCGTATGTGGTTTAGATTATTTTTTCCTACTTTGTTTATCAAGCTACAACAAAAGATAAGGAAGTTGAGATCGTATTTTTTTTCGCCTTATCCGTTAATTCATCTGGCTATTGGTTTCTAGACGCGAAAATCCCCCATTTTTATGCCGAACCTGCTCCCCTTACACCTTTCCTTCTCCCCTTCCCGCCCCCTCCTTCCTTTACGATTTTCAATGCTTTGGTTTTTCAGGCAATCCTCCTCCATATGCCATCAAATGTCGTTTTAATTTTTTTAGGGCAGTTTAAATTGTCTCGAAACCCACTCTCTCGATCTTTGTCCCACTTTCTAAATGTCAGAATTGAACCGGCTAGCGGGTGGCGTTGTGAAGCTGTTGTCTGGTCGTTGTGTGAATGCCACTGTTCTTATGTTTCTCAGCTCTGAACTTAAACCACTGCCGAAAAAAATATATCCATCACGCTCCAAATTATTTAATGCTTGAGTTGCCTGCCAAATGATTATTTATTTACGAACAAACTGCGATCTCCCATACATTCAGCCTCATTTTGAAGCAAGCGATCCATGGTTTAAAAGCTGCCTCTACACCACTTAGCTTATCCTAGGGCTTCCATTCATCTCTTAAGGCGTTTTAAGGTTTCATCATGTGCGTTGATTAGGCCTGGGGGAATAAAAGTATAGGCAGCTTGAGGAGAGCTAGATGCCATCGGTGTGGAAGCCCAACCAGAAGAGATCGGAAAAGCTCTCCTGGTAACGCACACAGTCAAACTATATGTTATTTGGCTGCAGGGACAGTGATAAGCGTTCTATGAAGGAAAATTAAAGTGGGCAGCTTTACTGTACGCGGTGCACAACCCCAAGACTTTTGTAAGCGGTACAAATCTCCAATCCTCGATCGTGTTTAATGCAGTATTTATCCTCTTACACTAACCCGTTAAAATGTCATAAGGCATAGACTTGGGTCTTAACTTAAGCCCATTTATTCATAAAGTTGTTTTTCGTACGTCTAAGCAGGAATATGGTGTCACGTGCCTGTCATTTGAACCCATAAGCAACCCATTTGTGAAGTTTAGTTGAGTGCCCCAGTCAAGATCATTGTAAAGCTGACTGAGAACGGACTTTTGGCCGCTTTCGTTTCAAAGGCAAGCCCGTCATTGTTGCGGTTTTGAGTGTCCAGGTCACTTACGCCATCTGCACGTGTTTGTGTGTGCTAGGGGAGAGGGTGATGGGCTTTCCCACCGCACCTGGCCCACACTTGCTCTCATCGGAATTATTACGACACTATAAATTATTTCCTTCCTCTCTTGCTCCTCCCTACCTTCCTCCACCCCTCCGGCATCGTAGGGTAATAAATAAATGCTTTCTGAATGGTTCAAAGGCACTCATCACTGGCTTTCCCAGAAGGAACTTACTTGTGGTGATTCTGCCTCAAAACTATTGATGGAAATTTTAAAGCCAGAAACTTGAAGGAGCTTGCTATTGCACTATAGATTTGAGAACTTAAATCTAACCATTTCAAAACCGCGGCAAAATGTCATACAATGCTTTATCATCATTTTCGAGGCATAGGTGAAGGCAGTCTTCGTAGCCATGCTCCACGATTTGCAAATAAGCTTTTAAGGGAAATTTTTGTTTGTTATTGTTCTCCCTCGAAAGGCATTTTCATCGGTGCTTCATTTCATTTGTGTGCATGGAGGTCAAACCATTGTACACATGATTTTCCTCTTGAGGGAGAAAATTCACCATGCATGTGCACTGCTGATTGTTTATCGTTTGCGACTTCTCTTCTTTCGCCAATTTTTTTCTGAGTTTACACTTGCCTAAAACAGGTGAAATAAGAACGGAGCACGAGGAACGCTTGCGGAAAGTGTCAACAACTTGAGGGTTGCGATTGCTGAGGCTCTCTCCTTTCACATTTTAGCTTTCTGTTGGGTTCTAGCATAGCTGTCCATAATTGAGGTGCTTAGAATATATACACATTTGTAACAATTGTGAAATGAGTGATGGAAATATCCTTTTGGCTTAATCACTAATCCCTCGAGGTAATAGCCGTGAACTTATTTGGTGTGCTTTGGGGCTCGGTTTAGACGTGTATCAGTCAGATGATAGCCGCAGGAGAGGTGCGTGAACAGCAGGTGCGTCAGTACTTCCACGAGAACGAGCACCTTCTAAAAGTGGACCTTGGGACCTCGGGTCGCCTTCAGATGCTCAACCCGCTGACCAGCCCCACTCCAAACGAAGGTGAGAACGAGGACAACGACGGAGATGACGAGGACGATGATGATGATGAGAGTGAGATGGTTGCAACTCTCCTGCAGCTCATGAGGGACAACGAGCGTCTGGAGGCCCTTAACGCCTCGCATATTGAAAACATCGTCTCAGAGAGGGATTCTTGTGCTCATCTTAAGGTATACTTCTCTTTTACTGCTGCTTTCAACCTTTTTAATTATTTGAATTTTAATTTAGTTTTCCCTGAGACCGTTAGGATTTTGAGCTACTTGCGTGACATTGGGTTTTTTAGTCGTTATTTAAATCATGCAGTACGTACTAGATCCTTTGCTCTCAGAACAGATATTTTGATATCAGATAGACTTAAAGCATATTAAAATGCCATTATTGTGTATGTTGACTGATGGCTGTATATTCTAGCCATTCTTAGGCACTAGAAACGTATTTTGTGGGTCAATTTTTTTAAACGGGTGCTCCCAAAACTCGTACTAGTTACGTTTTTCCAGCATTTGACGAACTTACCTATACAGGATACTTTCACCTACATGCTAGACAACTTTTTGTCAAAATTGTAAATCGAATTCTCGAGACGGTACAGAAAAAGAAGTATCCTTATTTCAAACAACGTAACTGCCTGCTGCGTTGTATTGGTTGAAACTGAGTTTTGAATTCCGTGGAATTTAGTCTAGGATACCGGCAAAGATTAAACGCAATGGAGATGTCAATCTGCACTATCAAAATATGTCCCACAGTTATCGAAGTATTAATCATTAGTTTTAAACTCAAAAACACGTTCACATTGCATTTTTGTGAGATATTTTTAACGTTTCCATCAAGTTGTAACTCAATACGGTGAGTGAGAAGTGGGAATCTTTGTGGAGAAGGTAGTGAAGATACCGCAGGATGTAAATGCATGGCCCTGTTTGATCGAGTACCCTAACGGCTGTTATCGTGGAACAAAATGCATGATTTATCGCATTGCAAATGATTTTGCTGAGGAGTTGGCACCTTGAATCATGTGAGAGATTTGTTGTATGTATTCCCATGAGCATTGGATGTTGTCAGAATAAAAAATGGTCATGTACGAAGCACTTTTGTTTTTCGAATGGCACACATTATATTTAAATCACACCGAGTGGATAAAACGGAACAACATTTTAAATTTGATCTCAGCAGTAGATTTAGTTTGCAATACACCTTTTGATGGTTGTCGTTACGACCGCAGTGTTCATCATTTAAATAGCACTTTATGGAGTCTCACATGCTCTTTCAGTCGCCAAGCCCTCTTTGCAGCAAAAACTTTGCATTTTGTGTTACGTTTTATTGTTTCCAACGTATATAAACACTGCATAATGTTAGATTTTATGTGCTGAAAATCTTGACTTTGAAATGCTCTTTAAGCACATGCAAGTCCAAAGTGATATGCCTTTTTCATTTCTTTTTTCGAAGGATCCACTCAGTTAGCAACAAAAATCTTTGGCCTGAAAATCTCAGATCTAGGCATTATTTCCGCTCTTTCCTAGACTTTGTCAAATGGAGAAGCCTAGTTGACTGCTGATTGTTTATTATTTGCGACTTCTCTTCTTTCTCCACTTTTTTTTCCAGTTATTCGTGGTAAGGGGTTTCCTTTTGCTTCAGGTAGACCAATAGATTGTTGCTCATCCTGGCCATGTCTGTTTAGTTGCTTTTTTCCTCGCGGAAGTGCCTAGTTTAGAGGAAGGATTGCTCAAATTTCGTGCGGAATTGGTTTCCCCTATTTGGATGTTTCAATCCAATGTCAAAAAAAACATGATAGATGGAGAACTCTTGTACCCGAAACGCGGAGGGGCGCATCTTACGAATGCAGGCACCACTCATCGTTCTTCGATGTTCGTTCTTTAAATGCCTAATACTGGCTCATGTAATCCCTTTGCATGGCTTACTAAGAAGGAAATCTTATGTTTCATTCAAAGGCATGACTTTGACAACGGTACTTGGGACCACATTCCTTAGTTACTTCAACTGTTTATCCTTCATGTTGGTTTGTTATCAGGTGGAGGAGGAGCGGTAACGAAAGATCAGAACATATTCGTTCGGATTTATACCTATTGTATTCTGTTTCTCACGCGTTGACTATAGGCAAGTCTGTAAGTTGTCTACAAATGTTGCCCGTGGTTGCACACAGGCTTTTAAAAAGTTGGGCAAGGCTTGCCCACACAAACTTGTGCGTGTTAGTGACATTTACGAAAAACACGACGTGAAAAACTGGGGTAATGTTTGATTTTTTTTCGCTTTTACTCCCTGAGGGCAAATCCACCGAAATATTTCACACATACACCCTTCCGAACGCATACTTCTAGTGCGTATCGAGCATCAATCTTTGTTCTACGGGTTGAAGTTTTGCCGTTTTTGTTCTTGATTGCATCTAGAGTAAAGCCACTATTACTCACTTAGCGAAACGGTATTTTGGGTAAGTGCTGTTTGCAACTAGTGTTGAGCTCATGTGTTCCTTCTTGAAAAATCATTGCCTCAAGTAGAGTTTGGTCCTCTCATCTCACTGGTGTTGAAAGGTAGCCCTGAAGGGTGAGCACGGACAGCAGCATTTGAGTGGTATGCAATTCGAGCTTGTCTAACTCCATAAAGACGTACGTTTAATACCCTCAAATTGTGAACTGCAACAGACCTGCCCACTGAAGAACTCACCAAAGTGGTGGTTGTGGTCGCCGTAAGAGCTCCGTAAGAGGAGGCAGCATCACTCCTTATGGTTGACTTTCATTCAATCAGTCAATTACTTGTGCGCCCTACGCAGGTGGAAATGCACAATTTATTATTATTTTGATCAGTGCCTCTTCTTTAGTCCTTTGTTTTAAATTCCACTGCATCAAAAACTTGTTTCATCAAGGCTGTGTCGAGATTGCGTTCAAGCACACTCCATTCCTGATTACATGATACTAACAGGCTCAAGCACTTCATGATTTGGCTACTTTATAAAGTAATTTTTCATCGTGGTTCAAACGATCGTGTTCCCTGTTCTCATTATATTTTGTTCGAGAAATGCATAACACGGTTTGCTCACCACCGGTAATGCTTCAAACGAGTCTTATCGTCGCGCCTAATCTGTCTGGTTTCCTGGTCCTCCGTGACCTACGAATAAACATTGCACAGTTTGTGAAAGCAAAAGCTCTTCTCAATTAATGGGAGTAGCACCTACTGTATCACATAATCCATGCCTACCCTGCCATCCAGTTCATTTGAAGGGCTTTCTCTAATGCTTATTTGAGTGAGAATTTTCGCTTTTGCTATACACCTTTGGTTATCCATGTTGGCGAGTTTCGAAGATATTATTAGAAAATGTTCATGCCAGGTTCCTCTACCGTAGCTGCTTTTCTTTGTAAATAGTTTTTATAATTGCTCACTTTCCTTTTATCTTTACGATTAAACTATAAAATGCTCCATTTAGGTCAGAGATATCGCGCTGTGGTTAAGCCTGATTTGCCTGATTCGTTCAATTTAATCAAATGTTTTCAGCAAGCATTCCCTGTCTTGGGATTACTTTTTTGAGGGAATTGTGGGACATTTGAAGTTATTCTGCGTTTAAAATGCGTTACCCAATCCCCATTTGTCACAATCGGACCACTGCGTAGGCACGTCTGAAGCAAGGCTGGTTTTGGCAAGCGTCATTATAAGTATACGACGATTGTGTTGATTTATGCTTTCAATAATCTTAAGTAGCTGCAGGCTAAAGTTCTTTGAACAAACCGCCTTCTGGCTAATTCATTAAATGAACGCAAAGTTCTCATCTCATGGGGGTTTTTTACGCCAATTGTCTAAATAACCAAACTCTGATTCGAAGAAAATCAGGTGGTTAACTTCACGGGAGTCTTTAAAGAGCGTTTTGTCGAGATTGAGTGGAAAAGTCAATTTATTTCACTCCGTTTGGCGTTTTATGCGCCCGTAAACAGGCTTTGCGCGATGCGATCGCTCCATTAATCATTTTAATGTCCCTTTGAGTTTATGTCAAAAAGTTTTCTCCTCCTTCCCTCCCTCTTGTCCCATCCTCCCATACTAGGGAGGATGCGTTCAGCTGGCGTGGAAGCCTCCTTTTTGAGATCACCTTGAATCCAACCCACCCCAAATCGATTTGTAGTCCTTCCACCACGCAGATTGCTGCACAAAATTCAGCTGAGATAATCCCTATTAGGCCAGCGAATGTGCACTTCTGGCTATTTAACAAGGCCAGCAGGATGAAAACATAAGGTAGGGGACGTTACCCTTTGTGCCCAGCGTTTGGCAAAATAAACCGAACGAAGTTAGTGCCATTTTATCGCTCCGTCACTTTCATTATTGAAACTAGAGCTTATAGTACGAGTTTCAGTGCTCTGACTATGCTCGTGAAGTATACATCATCCAACGTCTGGAATTACAAGTGGCAAATGATGCTTGTCTCTAAGAAACCAATGGCTCGTTGTTGACTTCTCGGTATGTCGGTAGGTCGTATGTTTATACCTGCACGATTGTCTTCGCCAGAATTTTTCTTGCCCTGGTCACCTTTCTTTCGCACTTTTTTACAAAAATCATTATGACTTTAGGCCGACAAGTTTACCCCGTTCAGAGGAATTGTTCTAGCCCAGTTTTTTGCAGCCAATTATGAATTACGCGCGCCTGGTGCAGCAGTAGTTTACGATACTTTTCTGGCTTTTGTGCTAAGTTCATACTAATTGCATTCATATGGTGGAATTGGTATGAGGAGGCGTTCAAGTCTACCCGGTGTCTTTAATTCTTACAAGTGTAAAACACAAAGGATTATGCCATAGTGGTACGACGCTAAATGGCAAGTGTATCGTCTTACGTAGTAGTATTTGCTGCAAGTGTCGTAGCCTGACCCAGACGCCGTTAGTGAAGATGGTGGCCAACAGTGGTAGTGTGTGAAATGGCGTATGGTGGTGTAGCTTCTTGTAGTCGAAGCGTTGAAACTTTTATAAGACTTAAAGTACAGTGCGGTGGTCGAATGTTCATTTGGTTTGAGGCGTTTGAATGCTGTAGACGCCTGGACGTACTTTCCTGACCCATAACAGTCAGTCATTGCTGTGAATTTTCAGCGCGTGGAACGCCTGCCGCATCCTGAATGTCTAATCTCTAGGCCCATGAAACGCATTCTTCTGTGGGAATGCAATCATTCACGAAAGGTCGATGTTTAGATTAGCTAGCACATTCTGGGTACTTGGGATGATTAGCCAATATTGAAAAATTGTTTATCGTTTGGGTGAACGCTGGGTTGAATGTGTAAATTTTCTTTATTAGTAGATAAAATAAAGTCCTACTTGGGTTTGAACATCTTTCAGGAAAAGTAGTCAGACTATCACAAAACGATATTCTAACTGCTCTTTTTTAGGTCCAGCTACGTCTGAACTCATATGTCGCACCGCCTCCATTGCCTTCACTTCAAATGAACGCCCTTCCATGAGCTGTTGAGTCGCTACCCCTGTCTCATCATTCTACATTGTCGCATTTCTTCTTCTGGTTGTCTGGAATCGCGTATTTCAATTAGAATTCCTTTATATCTTCCTCCTCTACTATGACTTCCAATTGTCCTCATCGTTTGTCTTCCTTATTTTGCCAATTTGAATCATGTTCTGCTTTCCTACTTCTTCAGTGGACACTAGTCGGGGGAGGAAGTGCAAAATGATAATCTAATTCTCTTTCAGCAAAATTTAGTGAAGTGGATCTTCGGTCGACAAGCAGGTAAAAGTGGCCGGCCTTTCATCTTTGCGAATTGATGGGTCAGAAGGGGATTAACTTTCATCCACCCTCCCAATTCTCATTTTCGGTTACTAGAAGGGCTTGGAAAGTATAGTTCTGCTATTTTTTGATAAAATTACAACCCTTCTCTTGACAAATAAGTACCGGTTCCTGCTAGGCTTAATAATTTTTCATGGGTAAAAATCGCTTTTTCAGGTTAGTAATTTACATTGCCTTCTCGAATACCGAAAAGGTTGGTCACTGCATCAATGAAATCGTTTGTTTCTGATGCGAAGACATGCTTGTGTTTGATTAATTCCGAATAAACTCGATTTTCTGCTCAAAGAATCTAAAAAATGAGTCAGTGGAACATTAGAGTAAGCCTGGGAGTGCGTTACGCAGTCTTCGTAAACTACACTTGCCTTACCTGTGGGGCTCGTTTGGGGGTCCTGTTCGCTCCCTCAGTAGTGGGTGTGCATCACGCGCTGAAAATCGGCCGGAATAACAGCATTGAGACGAGAGAGCCAAGGAGATTCTCTAGGCGGGTATTGTTATCTTTCTCGCGTGCTTCACGTCATAAAGCTGTGCAAAGCAAGTCTAACTGTTGCCTGCGTGTCGTGCCTGGGCATATTAATATTAATCAGGAAGTGGAGGTGGAAAAATTGGCCCAGAAGGCACGGATGTGGACCTTGGATGTTCACTGCCTTACAAATACAACACCTTTTATCGAGCTTTTAGGGCTTACATGCGGAACGTTGCCATGCTGTAGTGGCATTAACTTGAGCTCTCTTTTCCCGCTGTACTCCTACTTGGCCCTGAAAGTAATTGGCATTTTAGTTTAAAATTCCGTACTCCGAGGTGACCTTTCGAACGCCGCAGCTGCGTGGACCATTGTCTTTGGGCACCGAGGGGACATTTTTAAATAAAGGGACCAAAAATATACCATTTAAGCCGTCTTCTATTGTTTAAAAACAGCTGAATTCATATTTTTTTAAATTGTTAATAAAGACCAACTTCTGATGATAGGCATTTATCAGCATACCTCACAGCCATCATGTGCAATTAAAATGAATTTACTTTGAAAGTGGTGGGTCTTACGATTATGGGTGACTTGAACGCTACAGTGGGAAATTCCTATGCTTCATGACTTCTCGTTTGAAAAGACCGAAAACCACTCTTAGGTGCTGGTAACATCTAGAGAGTTCGCTTCTCATGATTGTCTTATACTTTTTGTCTATATCTGAGTACGTTTTGTCGAGATAATCAGAGGTAGAGTTCTGAGTTCGTACTGTGGCTTTTCATCCAATTCTTTCCCACCTCTACCACTTCGAAAATTAACTTCGCCTAAAATTACTTCCAAATGAGCTGTATGGGAAAATGAATTTACTGCCTTTGAAGATCCCCTTTTGATAGTTGAATATCGCAGCGTTTGACCGTAATGTAGCATTCCCAGTCAGGTATTAGGTGTTCTACTTAGACTCGCTTGGAGATTACAATAGAATATTTTGCTTAAACGATTATTCATACGATTTCACATTAGTCTAAAGCAACACTGTCCTCGTGGCCATCACTACAGACCGATTTCAAACGAGGCCATGCCCTCTTCCTTTCGTAGCAATTTGAGCTCTGTGCCCTACTTTCGTACTCTACAAAAAACTCGTTAATCAGGATGTAAAAATAAATTTGATAGAGCATAAACAGCAGCCCACATCGCTTCCCCTTTAACTTTTCTGATTTTGGTGGAAGTTTTGAAGATTCCCTCTAATTATTAGTGCGACAAAGTGGCACAGGCATTCCGTGTTCAGCTAAATTTTAATCAACTCTATTAAAGAGACCGTTCATAATCAGAATATTTTGTGCAACACGTATTCCAATGGTACCTAATTTTAGAACTACTTTGTGGGAAAGTCATTTCAAAAGAGCACTGTAGTCTTGTGAGAGAGAATTTCAGGGACAAGAGAAACAGTATTATTGACTAAGATTTCTATCTGTGAATTTGCTTGATTAGCCTGTAAAACCTATACCTATATTTCACAAAAGTTGACAGTTTTGGCAAGTCAACAATTATTGCGAAATCGTCGTGCATTCTGGTGGTTTTGCAGACTGAGATGGTGGTAACAGTGACAGTGAGTGGGCTAGACTGCTCCTTAGTGCGAATCATCGGCGGTACTGTAACTGCATGACCACGCGAATTTCAACAAAAATACTTTATTGCCTATATTTTACGTCATATTTTTTCGGTGATTAGAGACTGCAATTAGTGGGATCTTCTGATCATTTTACCATGGGTAAAAACACTTCACCATTTACCGGAAACGACTACCTTCTTTATAGTTTCACTAAACGGGTTTTGATGTTGCTTAAAAGAAGAAGTCTTTACCAGACCCATCTTTAGTCGCTCGTTAATCCAATTTCACAATTATGTTTTACCATGATGTTGTGACTCCTGAGGTATTCTCCCTCAAATAAGAGAAAACTTTTGCATTTCGTCTCACTGCATTTGGCAAAAGGAAAATTTAAATTGTTCAACTGCTCTTCGGTCCCAATAATCCATTTACAAAAGTGGCGACGATAAAATATAATGCTAAATCTGTGGTTCATAGGGTCATTTCCTCAAATCTTTTGAAATGTATTATACATTTTCTTGTTCCGTATACTTGCACAAGTCTCTACCTAGACAGAAATTATTTTCGGGAAAGATAATATTTAAGTAAAATGGAACGTTCAAAGCCTCAGATGACGAATCCTTCACAGCGTCAACTAGGGGATTGGAATGATAAACCTGGAAGGAAATGAGGACCGGAGGTCGCTTCACTTTGTTATACGGTGCAAAATTAGTGGATGAAATTCCTGCACTCCTCAGCTGATGCGGCTATACGCGGTTGATGTATAAACGCATAGCGTACACAACTAACTTTCTTCTGTCAAAAGGGTAACAAAAATAGTGCCTAAATTGCGCTTGTTAAATTTTCCTTACATTGCATCAATTGTTTGTTTGCCTCTTTGCCTGGGTTTCGCAGTCACTTAAGGCTCCGCCTTTGCACCTCCGCTGGGTGACATGGCTTCTGGGCCATACCAGTAATTCCCCAGCAATTCTATACGTCGGCAGAACACTTTCTGTCCCAGTATTGCTACTTCTTTTATCTCAGGTTAGACTTTGGAGCTACATCATCTCCCAATAAAGTCTTTCGGTAAACATAATTGCAATGTATTAGCCAAAGTAGATGATTATTTGAGAGCGACCTTTTGTGTTCTCGGCTATATGTATAAGTTTATCCGGCATATTTTGTTAGAAAAAGTCATTTGGAGACTAATTTATTATCAATTCTGAGGAATACATATCTTTTGTGTGCATTATTGTGTATTTCCTCTTATCTTTTTACGTATTTAAAAGCATTCGGTGTTTTTATAAACATCTATTTATAGCCTCCTGAATATTGCATAAACCGATTTCGTGCAACTGGATTTTGTAAGCGAGGGACCAATCAAGTGGGATACAAAGCTTGGAGATGGTAAACACCTTCTTCTTTCCAGTGGAATGGAAAGTCATTCAAACATTTATCTACCAAGTTGAATAATAAAAATCAGTACAACGCGCATCCATGAATTCTAGCCATAGTCTTTGATGAATCCAAATTTCTTTATCACTGGCATTTCTGCTTGAAGGTTGAGGACATAAATTGATGGATTTGATGGGATAATTCACTGAAGCCACATCAAAGAAGTTTTTCTTTTCAGCTAACTGCTCTCCTAATCCGATCCAGACTGTATACTTGCGGTACAACTGCCACCCACAATAAGTTAACCAAAGTAAAATAACTAAGGTTTGAAACATGTTTTAAAGTGAAGAAAGAACCTATATTTTTAAGGTGCGATAATCTTAAAAATTTACTGCTACTGTAGTCACAGAGTTGAATCGCTTGTCCACTACTCACAACAGCGTCTTGCGTGGTTCATTGGATTATCTTTAAACACGGCCTGTTTGCCCCCGTTAGCATCGAAGTCCCACAAAGAGAAAACAACATTACTTTTTCAGATGTAGCTTTTGATGTCTAGAGGTTGGAGGCGATTAGACTATTTTTAATACCTAGACTATGCATGGAAAAGAGTGTGGCATTATACGAAGTTGCTCTTTCTCTTGTGAAAGGACAGTTCACCCAACTGACATTTCAAAAGTATCTGAAGACAGATCGCTGATTGTAGGGGGCCAACAAATAGGGCTTCTTACGCGTTGGGAAACCTCCAAGGGGTTGTCAAATACTCTTACATCAAGACAAGTAGCTGACTTGGTGGTTCTTTACTGCTTAAAAAGGATGAAATTGTGCATACTTGGGTTGAAAACAGGTAAATTTCGCTAACAATGGTTAGAAATAAGGTTTGTTTCATTTCAAAGAGCATTGTGGATGTTAAGAAATTGGAGCTGTTAAAAGTTCTTGCCACTTTGAGCATGTCATTAAGAAAATCTTTCCTCGGTTAAAGGAGTGCTAGATTTTTTTGGCAGAAATCATTGTAGAGAATAGAAATTTATGTTGAATGGTGCTTGCGTAAGGCCTGAGAACCCTCGTAGTTTTTTTCCCTAATTTGCGTTAAGCTAAACAATCACCTTAACATAAAGATTAATTCCACATCTATGCTGATTTCGCAAGGTTATCCAACTAGGGTTTAAATGCTATAACTCGTTTAACTATGTAAAATAGTTATTTAAAAATCCATTAGTAGACTGAT